AAAAAAAAAAAAAAAAATGGAAGACTTACAGTTCGTATGCGCGTATGTTAAACCAAATCATTTTTTTTAGTTACAAAAAAAAAGAAAAGACGATACTTAAATTAAATTCACATAGTACAACATTAGCTTACACTCGTATATTGAAAGCAAGAAGCGCGGTTAGATTGATTCCCATTTTCAAATTCAATCGCTTGCCATCATTAATGCAAATATTGCGATCGTTTAGGTCGCAACTACGGATGGAGATTAGATAGATAAACGCATGAACGCACGGATATTAATCAATCTCGAGATGTTACTAATGAAAGGAGAAGTTCAGCGCGCTTGATCCATTAGTACTGGTGATGCCATGTTCAGGATAGCAAGAAGAAATTCGAATCATTTATTCCTTGAGCGGAATTCATTTATTCTCCGCGGAGTTAGTGAGGCTTTACTATCCACAGATCTGCCATCTGGCTATCGCAGAACACACACAATGTGCAAAATATTGTTTTGACAAATGTAACCGATTTTTTTTTCTAAACGGCATAGTTCACTATTATTATCTGTAATAGGTTTAAATTAACATCAACTGTAGACTATAGGTGTTTAAATTTCGTGTCGGTGACAATCAACAAAAAAATCTATCTTAATTTTAACAACCGCAAGCATTGCAATAACAGAAAGTACACTAACAAACAGAAGAATGAAAGGACAAAGGAACTTAATTAATCCGAACCTTATATTTATATATATATATATATATATATATATCTTACGATAATTAAGAGTTGAATGTATTTTATAACGTTATAAACGTCTGGCAATCTTCAATGTACAGCTGTTGCCAAAAAGTAAATAGAATAAGAATAAGGTGAACGTGAACTTTGATCTCACACCAGTACTTGGATGTAGTTGCTAGAATGGAAGCGCATTAAATCTTAAGTTTGGAAATATTATAGGGATTTGGACCACGTTCCAGATATCCATAACTTATTTACGACTACCTATTAGGCATAGAATAACAATTTTTTATTACTTTTACTGCGGAAAACTTCAAAGAGAAGAGAAGAGAAACTAGAAGTAACAACTGACGAAATTTGCGATTTTGCATCTCGTGCCCTATCATCTTTCATCACAATGTTAGGGAAATTAATATGAAATGACAATGAAACAATTACCTAAAACCCTTAAGCAATATTAGCATGCATTACAAGCGCGTATACGTTTCTCGAGCTTTCACACATGAGAAGCCAAGATGATACACTTCCAATCAATCAGATAATTTGAGTCAATTAAATTAATCGAACCATGTAACTTAATAAAGATCTTAAATAATGTAATAATAATTCAATTAAATAAATTTTGCCATCTTTTACACCCATCAATTCATGATATTACCGCCAACTCATGAGTTCATCAAACGATCGTTAGTTACTGCACGTACTCACAGTCACCATTATTCGAATCGCTTGGCAATAGCATATGTGTCCGAATTTATTATGGCAATTGCCCACGCAACTTAAACTTAAATAACTTCATGCAATTCTCGAAATAAATCTAAAGCCGGCTTCCATCGAACACTGACAATGGATTTTATAAAACCAAATTTTAAACCCCCAAAACAAAGCGTCCTACTCTCAATAGTTGAAAGGAAAAGATTTCTCCCGCTCGCCAAGAGAGGAAGATTACAAAAGCATTTAAAAATGAGCCAAACTTTTCAAAGAACACGCCTGCAACGCCCGCAAGTCTATGTAGCAATAACTGTGAACGTCTTTGTTTTCCGTATCACATATACCACATAAATTTCCACCTTTATCGTAGAAATAGAAAAAATCAACCGCACCCATCCAATATTATATAAAAATTTAGTTTTTCACCTTTTTTTAGAATCACGGTGCTGGGTATATATAAAATTTTCTAACTTGCTTCTCCTTTTCCTTTTGTATAATGAATGCCTTGGTCCTTCTAGAATGCGTGGAATAATTCATTACCCATAAAAAGTTTTTGCCTTGAAATTCCGAGTTTCTCTGCAAGCAGACCAAAAAGAGCCCGTGTGTGAAATACAACTCTCTTGGAAAATTATAATTTTATGTCTTATCTGCCTATTGTTAGTTCTCTTCATGGAGTAACAGGTTCCTTCAGAGTGTGTTTATATTGATTTAAAAACCATTCCGAACGAAAATAAACTAAAATCTTTTTTTGTGCGATTTTATTTATACGATTTTTTTTTTCCGTGCGGTTTATGAAAATTTCAATGAAATTGGAACATAATTGACGAAATTATCAATAGAAAAACATTAATGGGTTTTACCGACCATTTAGGTTTTTCGATTTTTGATATATATGTATTTCATCACATTACATAAGTGCAATTACATTATATTTGTATTACATTATCTAATCGCACAATGTAATTGTGGAACGCACCATAAATTCCAGTTTGGATTTTCATGAAACAGTTTGCGTGTCTGATCAGGTCACTGAGTTGATTTCTTACGAATGAGATAGTTGGCGACTAGTCTTATGCTTTGTTTTGTTTGTTTTATGGAATAGATAGAAGAGGTTTCTTTGAAGGGGGCAAAGAATTGCTTTTTTTATTCATCTCTCATCTGCACACAAAACCAGGTTTGAGTGTATGTTAATTGAGCTCCAGTACTTCTATAAAAACGACCGAGCTTTGTCGCTTTAGCGCAAACTTTTAAGAATTGGAATCTCAAAATGTTAAAATCAATGGGCCGTAAGTGTACCAACCAACGAAACACGTTCGAAGATGGCATGTCTAACGCGGCGTTGGAGTAATGCGTCCTCCACACGGCCTTTGAATAGATAAGAAGATAAGTTGAGCCAAGAAGAATTTCTTAATCGTTGGTTGGAAACCTATACGCAATCCTATGATCTGGGCTTTGATTCCGAAATCTGATTGAAGTCTTCAAGTCAAGCAAAAAAGTCTTGGACATAGCGACCACCACTACTGTGTGGAACTGCAATGTAGGCCTCACTAATACTTTACAAACAATGGAAGCATTGCAGATTGTGATGTTGGCAACAAATCATACTATTTTTGTCCCAGAACCAAAACGAAGTGGATTAAGAAAGCTGAGTGCCCGTGACAGATAGCAAAAAATCGTCCACAAAATCGAATGAGCAGGAATATTTGGACTTGGAAGAGCAGTTTTATGGTCTTCGAATTGCTGACTATAAAAAAAAAAAAAAATAACCAAAAGTTTATTTTGGTAAAACAATATATCTCTCATATATTCTAAAACGTTTAACGCGCCTTTCTCGCATAACACGAAAGTTCAAAACCGCAGCCAGCATAGCGCAGATAATTTTAATTTTTTTTTCATACATATTATTTACGGTATTTTTAAAAGTGCATTGTAGAAATTGGTAGGATTTTCAAGTGCTTTCTTTGGTCGAAAATGTCATTTTTTACATACACACGGTTGTACCGATGTAGATTAAATGATATTTTTATTTTTAATTTAAATTTGGACCAGTTATGCTGCCTGATGCAGAGCACCTTTAATCAATAATTTCGCAAGAAGATGGCTACGGCGTTGCCATTTTTTATATATTTTTTCCAACACTTCAAACCTTAATAACCCCCTCAAACATTATTATGCTGCTAACTTCCTTTCTGGCGTAAAAAGATTCTCATAAAAGATTTTTTTTTTTTTTTTAGACGGATACAGCGGTCTACTCCTTAATGCAAATAGATGCAATAGTTAAGAAGCAATTGCTTCCATTTTCAAATGAATGTAGAAACGAAGTCATAACTAATCGAATATTTGAGGGAGATTTTAAAATATATATAATATTCATCTCCTCGAGAAGGTGAGAAAGAAAAAAGATTTGTCATGAATTAGTTTTAATGTGATGTAAAATGAGAAAAGCATTCCTTTCGCTCATTTGACCGTTAAAATGAAATAAAAATATCTTTAGGAATAAACAGTGTTTTCGTCTCATATCATCGAGTAAAAAATGTGACAATTTCAAGTCAAATTATTAGTCGATTAAAAGAAGTGAAGCTTTAAAAACTTGATAGATTTTTTCATTTCTTCAGTTCAGTTACGGTAAACACTATGCAATAGAAACAACGATGAATGAATATTCGTATGAATATACTACCGATTTATTTTTCATTTTAATCACTAATTTATGTTTCATTTTTATATGTGTTAGTGCTTGTGTCCACACTCGCTTCGTTATCTCTCATCTCAAATTCTATTTCTTCACCGCGCTTCATATTAAATATTTTATTTGAATTATATGACTGCAGGCGCTCACAGTGTTCTTATTTCTGTTCTGCCTCCCATTACTATTACTAATATGCATATGCATATGCTTGCATATAATACATAGATGTATTAAAGATATTATGATTATGTAACAGGACACAAATTGTTAATGATTAAATTATGTATTCTAATGCTTAAAGTCAGGTCGTAAAGTTAAGTAAATTTCAAATGGCATGGCTTTTAAAAATGAAATAATGGTCACGCTCTGCCATAGCATGAAATACATGTGCATCTAGACACACTTGGCAAACTTATGGTACTTCAAGAAGCAGCTGCATAATAAAAAGATGCGGCAATACTAGCAGTGCTGTAAGTGCAATAATTGGTTCATGTGTCACATAAACTTTTCAAATTGCGCACACGCATATGCGTAATACAATTAAAATCGTACACTTATGTACGTTTCCATTATCCATTATCGACAGTGTAGTGATCGGAAGATTTTATTCAGTGTTTTTGACAACAACTACGTTAGAAAAACATATAAAAAATTTCCTAATAATTACAACAACAAGTTGCTGCTGCTGCAAGAGTTTTGCAAAGAATGTATTGGAAATTCAATAACAAAAATAGAACTAAAAAAGAAATGAAAGGCAAAGAAAATCCAAGAAAAAGTATAAACAATTGAGAAATAAATTAATTAAAGAAATTAATCAATACATAATATAAAAATAATTAATAACTAAATAAATAAATGTTTCCTTAATTCGATAGAATTCAATCCTTTGTAGAGTCAGTCGAGCCTTCGTCAATCTTTTTTCCGCTCGATCTGCGTTTAGGTTTCTCCTCTTCGGTATTTGAGTCAGTCGGCTCTTTATCAACCCCTTTTTCACCTGATCTGCGTTTAGGTTTTTCTTCTTCGGTATCTGAGCCAAACGACTTTTTATGAACCCTTCTTCCACTCCATCTGCGTTTAGGCATTTTTTTCTTTTCGGTATCCGCGTCCATCGGGTCTTTTTCAATTTTTTCTCCGCTTGATCTACGTTTAGGTTTTTCTTCTTCGATATCAGAGTCAAT